AAGGCTATGTGTGCTCTGTGAATCAATGTATCGAGATGTATAGGCAGCATCATGTGTGTATATCGAAGAGAGAACGGGGTAAGCTGGACAAGGACCCCCCCAAGGTCCGAACCAAGCTTGAACCTGTGACCTTGTAACATGTAATCGAATGACTCTACTATGTGAACTACTAGCGGAAATGGCACGCGTGTGTGATAGGCCAGACTGGGGAGATCAACAGAACACGCAAGACCAACACCCCCAAGCAACCCGTGTGAAACCCAGAACCAACATACAACACCATGAACAACCCTTGGGTGGTGCGCAGGCAGTGTCTGTAATAGTACGATGCTTCAGCCCAAGGGAGTGTGTCCAGCCGTGCGTCAATCTAACGCCCTGCCGGTGTCCATGCACAAGGTTGCAAATGAGTTTTGAACCCGCAACCTCATACCACAATGCGCATTTCCAACCGGTGGTCTAATCACTGAGCCACATCAACTGGACTGCAGAAAGCCATCCCGTGAAGTCCTGCGGTCCCCTGTTGGTAAAAACGCGGTCCAATTCTGGCTTCTCCTTCTCCAGATTTTCTTTCAGGAGTCGAAACTGCAGTCTACCCAGCTTTACATTGTGCTCTTCCAGAATGTCGATACCGTCTTCCCCCGAACATAACGCACCCTTAAAATGAATGTATAAAAGTTGTATTTCGGGCCCGATACAGCCAAAATGAGGTTGTGTTGTGTTCGGGGGAAGACGGTAGTGACGAGGACGACGAGCAGCCGACGATCGTCACGACATGATTTCCCACCGCTTTTACCCTTCTGCTATGGCTATAGGTTGCCGCTCCCCGTCATTTAGAATGATCTCAAGCCCGCCCTCGGTGCGGGCGGATGTCCCAGAATTTCTAGGAATCGGAATTCACCGAGCTCAGGAGCGAGGCGTAAGAGACTGGGGCCTGCTACAGTATAGTTGCACCACGCGCCATCCGCCAACATTTTGAACGGATCTGAAACCGCCAACATTTCGAACGGATCTGATAAACTTTTCTGTCCAGATGCGTTCAAAATCTTGGCGGATGGCGAGTGGCGCACCTACCCGTAGGCCCTGGTTCTCGCAGCAATCCCCTCCGCCTGCTCGATGATGCGTAAGCCCGCCGAGAACCGCCTTCGCAAGGCCTCACCGGACTGCCGGCGTCCCCGAAGTTCCGAATCGAACGGTGTTCAGGGGGCTTCCTGACCTTTATCTGACAGCGACCGTCCGATGCCACTGACCGTGTGCAGTCATAGTCCGATAGGGGATGCCTGGCAGGGATAGAAAACGCGCAAATGCCGAGCAGGATTGGCGCGTCGGCGGTCCAATTCTTCAGATTCAGAAATCAGAAATCAGAAATCAGAAATGTCCCGCCACCCGCCGAAACAAAAAGAAACGGAGTGCGGGGGATGACAAAAGGACAAAAAAAAACAAAAACCAAAAAGCGAAGGAGAAGTCCCCGCCCAATGGAGGGGGTGCGGGGGATACCTCCACGCTCCACCATCCATGCAATGCATTCGATCCAGCGGCTAGGTCCCACTTGCACGAATTCAGAGATACTGACCGTCGATAGCAAAGATCAACGGTCCAAATCTCCTCATTTGCGCAAGTGGGACCTTGCCCCAGCATGGGACGGACACGCGCCGGCGATGACCCCCTTAAACCCTTTCAGAGGCAAATGACAAATGACACCTTTCGGATCCTGTATTGCGATTACGATAGTCCTCGCTCCACTATACTCGAAACACTCTCTACATGTATTTGGACCTAGATTTGGACCGGATACGTGCGGACGGATCGACCGTGCTGGACGTATTGAGACCACAACGATCTCCAGATACATTTAGGAAATAGTGCAGAGGATCGAGGCCCGATGTCTGTCACGAGATCCTGGGCAGCCGTGCGTGTTTCCTTCGTCCCCTTAGTTTTATCTATGGGAACTGTCCGTCTGGGCTCCGTGGTTCTCGGTGGGGAGACGCGCGCCTACGCCTTCTCGCGTCTTTGTGTTTTTTCTTATGGCGGTGCATATTTCCACGTTTTCAGGAAGATTCATTCCTCATTTTGCATTTGCAGATTTGATGAGTGGTGCACCAAGACCTTCCGTCGTTTTTTTTTTTTTTTTTTCGTCTTGGGTGTGCCTGTCCTCGATGGTTCCCCAACTCCCCTATAAAAGGGCGGGCGGCATAGTGCCCTCCGGCCAGCTTGGCGAGAGTTTTTTTTTTTTTTTTTTCGAGATTTGGCGAGAGTTTCTGCTCCTCGCTGAACCAGCCACAAAAACCAGATGTGCAAACTGAGAATGAATCTCCCTTCAGAAAGTGGAAAGGTACAGATGCCTGAAAAAGAAAGAATAGAAAGCGGGCCGCGCGATGGCTGATCCAACGATCGTTCGCTGGCGGAGGAGCCTCATGGAGCTCCCCATAGCCTTCAGAGCCTCGCTGAATCGAAAGCGGGCCGCGCGATATGGCTGCCTATGGTCCAGATACCTTCAAAATGT